TGAGAATAACAACCACAACAAATTTGACGGCTAATAATCTGAGATTTGCCTATGTAAACGGGGTGATTAAAAAACGAGCTTTGATTGGGATAATATTGATATGTGAACATAGTTTTAGAGACGTTGCTAAACGCTAAAAAGCTTCTTCTTCTTCTTCTTGGCTAAACATATAGCTCTTTTGCATGAATAACGTCAGATATAAAAAAAAGACCGCCACCTCTTATTCTACTAGGGGATGCTTAAATGTCATAATGCTAATATCCTTCGTAGTATAAATATCGAATTTGACGTCATTAAAATCGTTACGCTTCCCTATATACGTTTTTCAACGTTCATAGTAAATTGGAAATATGTTCGAGATGGGTTAAAAAAAAAAAAATGGAAACCATAGTAACAAGAGAGATAGTGAAATCCAGCTCATTCTTCAAGGGAATATAAGACAAATACACTCTCATTAAAATTTCAATTCGATAATGGGCTGCATTTCGAATTTATAACGAAGGGAAAGCACATTGGATAACGAGGGTTCCGTTTTGCTGGCCTAGTTCTCGATTAGAGTTGCCCATTCGTTGTAGAAACTGAGACTCGGAAAAAATTTTAGTTTTCCAATCATTTTCGAATTGTTAACCAAGCCCAATGTTTATTCACTATCTCTCAAAAAAATGTTTGTTTTCCCATAAATCAATTCACTATCTCTCACTATCTCTCAAAAAAATGTTTGTTTTCCCATAAATCAAAATTAACCAGGGATGACGGAAAGGTTACTTTCGATAACGTTTGAGAATTCGAGCGTGGCAGGGAGTAGCTGGAAGATGCTTCCAGGTCAGAGCGCCCGAAACAGCCGTTACCAAAGTTTTTGTCATTCTGAAGGAATTCTGTTCATCGACTGTCTTGATTAAAAAAACTACAATAAACGGATACTGTTATGCTACATTGTTGATATTAGTGCGTCAGATGATTATCGAGAAACGGAGACAGGCCAAGGGAGTCCTACCTGGACGCCAGTGATTACTTCCTGTTCTTCAATTTGAAGTATGTAGTTTTTTGAGTGAATGAGAAATGAAGGTGGGAGTAAGAAAGCAAAAACGGCGATTTTTTCACTAGGTCAAAAGAAAGGACTAAATAGAAAAATAAAATGTTAACGCATTTCATCATTCCATCTTGCGTAGAATAGTGCTCTCAAAAAACCCAAAGCCTTCTTAGCCTTGCTCGATATCGTCCGGCCATTTAATAGAGTTATTCTTCGCTTGATGTCCCGACTGATATTATTTTTAAGGTCCCTGCACTGATGGCAATAATAGAAACTCCTTTTCTTGACCAGTATTGGTTAAATTTATTTTTTTTATTTAATAACTAATATTTGTTTATAAATGTCTAGTTCATTATACGTACAACACCGCGCGATAGTAAATTTAATCCTGTTAGTAATTCAAAACTGATTTAAAAAATTATACAGAAATGTGCTTAGAGAAGAAGTATGGGCATACAATTAATGAAGAAATCCTGTAGAATTTAAACATATCCAAGTTTCTCGTGCAGAAGGGCTGGTAAATATTGAAAATGTCATTTTAAAATTTTACCCTTGAAATTTCGCAGTATTTGGTAAAAAAAATATATATATCTGTGTTCGTATGGAAAAGTAGCTTATGTCGAAAGGTTGGCTTTAGTATAATGCGGCATTCCCTTTATTCTTTCAACGACAAGAAATTTTTTGAGGAGACTTAATAAGAATATTGTCTTGCTAGTATCGGGACTATTTATTGCATGTTTATTGGCCAAAAGTTCTTCAACGGCTCAGCGCCAGTGAGTCATTCGCAATCATATGCTGCGAATGGCGATTTATACTAAAGCCAACCTTTCGAATTAAGCTACTTTTCCATATGAACACAGATATGTTAAGGACTTATATAAACTCGATAACATACTCTAATTTCGTCCTTCTAACTTTATCCGCTTAAAAAATTACGTACTCGTCCTTGTCAATTCAATGAGCCCAATTTGGAATTTGTTTCTCCTGAGACACAAATCCTCCAATAATTAACTCTCAGGGAGTAACATATTCCCCGAAAATTTGGGAGGATGAAATTCGACCTTCGAAAAAGCTGTTTGACATGTTTTTCACAGCTCAACTCCTCCATTTAAAATAAAAAATCCTCAAGGAATTTTTATTCATGATAGGAGGAAAGAGAAAAGAGCGAAAACTCCGAGGGAGTTTCTGTTCAGAATCGGACTGAATATCAAAAAATTGTTACGAATTGTTACTAGTACTTGCATGTTTTTTACTGGAAATGCATTCAATAAACGAAAAAAATTTGCAAGGTAGAGCGAACTCGGGGCTTAACAACCCGAGAGAGCTGCAAATTCTTGCAAGTAAAAACTTTGCCAGCAAGAATTTGCAGGAGTCAAAAAGTAAGGTTATGCTTGAAATTCAAATGTAAACAAAGTTTTTTAGAGGATGATTTGATTAAATATAATTAGTGAAATGAAAATATAGATGAACAATTTAAGTCTAATATATTTGGGCACTATTCTCAATTAAAAAGAAAATTGCGCGCCCAACCTTAACCGTTAGAAAGTGTCAAAATGACGTAAGTT